AAGAAGGGGACAGTTGCAAGCCGACTAAAACAAAAGCGGCTGTCATAAGGAGGCATAGTGCACATAGAACATACGCATTGAAGGGGGGGGGAGGAAAACGTACGCACTGAAGGGGGGAACGGAAAGTAGACGATTTTGAAGATGTACGTGCACGTGAGTATGGTCCAGGATCGGGGGGGGGGAGGGAGGGCGCTGTCTCACAAAAAGGTATGTACAAGAATTCTATATAATAATCTTGATGAAATTCTGACAGTCCAAACATAGCAGATTTTGAGTGCTGTACACATTTAACGCAACCTTTTGGACGAATTATCATTCAATGTTGATATGTGTTTTCGCTAATGAACTCACAAGATATCACTCAGGCAGTACTCAGTAGTAGAGTTTTTTTTTAGTATTTCAACCGTCGTCTTGTGTTAAAGTCTAACAAGTACACTCCATAGAGCCAAAAAATAAAGAAAATATTAAAAAGAGCTGGATAAAAATAAATATATCAGAGATGTAGGTCAGAGAGCGTCATCTAGTAACCGCAAATTGTGTTACTCAAGTGGGTTATGCCACGACCACTAGATTTCCTATTCAAACAGCAGTTTACTCAAGTGGGTTACTGTTTGTACCACGACCGCTAGATGTCGCATTCAAACAGCAGTTTACTCCAGTTAGTTACTTTTTGTACACGACCGCTAGATGTCGCATTCAAACAGTAGTTTACTCCAGTTAGTTACTTTTTTGTACCACGACCGCTAGATGTCGCATTCAAACAGTAGTTTACTCCAGTTAGTTACTGTTTGTACCACGACCGCTAGATGTCGCATTCAAACAGTAGTTTACTCCAGTTAGTTACTTTTTGTACCACGACCGCTAGATGTCGCATTTGATCAGACGTGGAAATAAAATATTGAAAACGCAGCCAACCACACAGAATAAAAAAATATCTTTCTGGGCAGACCAGTAAATTTTGTTCCCATTCTCTCAGTGAAGTACTAAGCTCCTATCTAAAGGTGATTTTTCCGCCCCCTTATTTTTGCGCGTGCGACCCATTGTCCTGGCCCTGCCCAGGTGCAACGTGGCACACAGACCATTGCGGAGTATATTCTGGGAACCACTGGGAAAACCCGTGACGTTTTGTATTTTGTGATGACTAAATTTTATAAAAATTGTTGGATTTAATTGGTCGTTTTTGTAAAGGGTAGGGGGGGGGGAGCGGTTGGAAGCCCAAAGTACGTACGCATCAATAACATGTTATGTATGGCAACAGTAATATTAAACTGAGATACTTACTGTCAACCGTATGCCTATCAGCATATGTGAGGTATTTGCTTACATACTTATTTCGTCCGTGTGATATAAAAAGTTGTATAAGCAAAAAAAAAAAAAAAAAAAAAAAAAAAAAAAAAAAAATTTTAAAAGAAAAAAAAAAAAAAAAAAAAAAAGCGGATATTGACGGGCACAGAGCAAGGAAGTAGTTTTAAAAGCCTTAATGGGATTGCTTTTGAAACGCTTTTCAGCACGTCTCACCTAGGGTTGCCAGATACGTTGACACCAGATGGAGGACATAATAACAACGAAAAAGAGGACAAAGGAGGGCATTTTGAATGTTTCATTTGAGTCGTCCCGTATTTAACGCACCGTCAGCATAATGTTATTGTCATAGCTGCCAGCTGTGTATCTTACTCTTAGTGAATTGACCAAGAAGCAGTCATGTTAAAAAAACAAATTCAATGGACGCCTTTTTCAAAATGTCCAAAAAAATAAAAATAATTTAAATAGCCAATTGTACAATCATTACCTTATAATCTTTATTAATTACGTGACATATTTCTTGGAGGAGCCAACTTTTCGCAGAATATCGTTGTCATCAATCACATATGCATCAAACTATTCACAGGTAAAATTCTTCAAATTGTACTTTGTAAGAATGATGCCCTTTACAGAGTCGAGTAAGAGTCTATTCCTTTTCTTTTGTCCTTTGAGCATTAATCAAGGAGAACACTCTTTCCACATTGCCATTGTGTCCAGGAATACAGAAGAATAATTCACAAATTTTAATTAACTCTCAAAAGCAACATGCACTTGGGCCACTTTGGAAAAATAAACTCCACTGTTCATGCAAGGGTCTTTCACAAAACTGTTAATTTTGGTCTTGTACAAATGATTTAAGATTGCAGAATTGGTCAAACAATTGCACGTCAACTACAATAATACCCTTCTCTTTCAGATACAATATGCACGCCAAAAGGTCATCAAATTTACAGTCTTTGATTTGATCTTAATCGATCCAATTAAAGCATTGAAATTTATCAAAAGGTTTCAACCACTTTTCTAAGTAGCTAATGCATGCTTCACATACCAACTTAACATCTGCCATAAAATTATTATACTCCTCTTTTAGACCACTTTCCTCAAGTCTCCTTAACATCTTCCTGACTTTCAGTGAAATAAATGTCTCCTTAAATCTGTTTTTCAAAACTACCAAGGTTGTGTGAAGAAGACTCATAACCCCTAAGACTGATGTTTCTACTCTTTCAATGACTGCAATATTGACATGGAAGACAGACATCAAGGAATGCAGAAATCAAAGTTAAACTTCTGAAAATCGTTCTCAAGTTTAACAATTTTTTTTTTATCACAGCAGGTGGTTAATATGCAGAAAGAAAATATTATTTCAAAGCTGTAAACAGCTTTAGCATCCTCTCAACATCTGGAAACAAACTGAGCCATCTGATTTAAGTGGTAAAGTATTTGCTGATAGTTAATGTCACAAAACTCCTTTACAGTTTCTGTTCTGACAGTGTATGTAGAAAAGATACTGAATATCTTCAAGACAACAGTTTCAACGTCAATCTGCATTAAATCTGCGCCAATTTGGATACATTTGTGCAGAACGTGAGCCGGACATCCAACGCCTTCTAATGGCTTGCTCAAGGCTTCCTTTAAATGCGAAAACACATTTTTTCATTCTTTTCTGTTAATGCCTCCAAAATGTACATTTGCTTTGTCACCAGCAAAAGCTATACATTTGGAGTACAGATAATATTTTTGGAGTATTCTCAAATTGTACTGTGATATAGTTTCTGAGGTTTCATTTGGTTTGTTGTCTAAATCGAGAATCTTAGTTTGGATTCAACCTGCCTTCCAGTCACAGTATTGAACAACGATCGGAAATATTTTCTGCTAACCGTGATTGCTAGCATCTGTCGAAAGACGAAAATATGAAATGCCACCAAAAGATTTACCCAATTAATCAACAGTGTGGGGGCCAATGACCTGGTTTATTATTTTTTTCAGTCTTTGTTTTTTCACAAACAATATTTTTAGCATAGGAGCCAAAATGATAAATAAATTGATCGTGGGCCCTTAAGATGAAGAAGAAGACGAATCTTCCAATAATGTGTGCATCATACCAGCTGTGCAGGTCATCGAGCTGTAAGACTGATGATGACAACCTGTATGAAATGCCAAAGTTGCTTCAGCCGCATGTGCTTTCAGCAACACCTTTGAATACTTAATCTGAAAAAAGGACCTCGATTTGTTCGATGACGCGGACACTATGATTAAGTTTCTATGTCTCTCACAGTCAACATGGCGCACCAAGTCATAAGCTTGTCTGTTAGCAACGGACTAGTAACTATCGCAAATCGTACACTTTGCCTCATTCTCGTTGCGTCCTTCAACGAGGCAAGGAAATTTATTTCTCGTAGTGTTCGAGAATTTGCGTTTTCTCTTTGTAGCAAGCCATTTTGATAAACATAGACGGCAAAAATTACAAATTAAAAAAGCAATTTAAATTTGCGTCTCTGTTGCCGGAACCAGAAAAAAAACATTAACATTTTGACCATAGATAATACAGCACAGAGCTAGATTGTTAGAATGACTAAAATGGACTGGTTCGCAGAAATGCATAGACTTTGCACATTGTAACAACGTAAATGTACGATGTAATAGTTGTTACAATGATGCATAAAAATTATAATATAAAATGTAAGAAAAGCCGGTCATCTTAAAAGATTTTAGCTTTGCCTGCCGGACGGATAATATTGAGCTAAAAATGAGGACATGTTACCCTTTTGCTGGATGTCTGGTAACCCTAGTCCCACATGATCACCTAAAAAGTTAACTTTTCCCCCCGACCCGCCCCCCCCCCTAATTAATGTGTAAAAACAATAGGAGACCATGCTGAAGTAAAGAAGATTGCATTTCAATTTCACTGTCTGTTTTAGCCTAACGAATATTATATCCATAAATGACACATGGGTTCATGATTTTAAAAAAAAATCCAGGTCGCGCTTAATAATTAAGGACACGATAAAGACAAACAAATATTTCACAGGTTCCCAAACCATGTGCGACGACCCTAAATGAAATAGCAAAGTCTTTATGAAGCAGTGGCTAAATTTTTTTTTTTTTTAAATTGTAAGATGATTTTAAATCAATTTTCATCTCTAATAACTGATAAAAGTATATAAAGTATAACAGACCCATTGCATTCTATACGAGAGGCTCTGTTTGAGTGCTTTTTCAACATTTGTTCACTTTTTGAAGAAAAAAAATGGATGACTGAGCTAAACATTACTGAAAACACAATTGCGAATTTACTACTAGTTATCGAGTTGCTATTGTAATATTTATTCAAGGAATATTAAGTTAAATTGAAAATATATTGAAATGTAAATTCAATAAAATGGGATCATCACTAAACACACTTAAATAATGACATAATAATTTTAAAAAAAAAAAGCTTTCCTGTAGATTGCGTAATATAAAGGAATAAGGTGCACCGGACTAATGACTTAATAAGTAGCTTGGGCCTTGAAAACAACAATAAACCTACGTCAATCTGTCCGCCGTATCCTTTTACTTAAAGATACAATCAGTGGCGTTGACAAGGGTTGGAGCAGGGAAGGTCTACCCCGAAGATAGTTTTTTCTTTCTTTTATAAAAGTAGCAGCATTTTCAGCCCATGCAAAGGCTTGATGTTTTTTTTCCTTTTTTTTTTTTGTTAGAGGCCTTTTTTCTACAAATGAAAACTTTGCTGATATCGAAATTCTTGCCCCTCCCGGCTATCAGCCTAGCAACGCCCGGACACATATCATCTTATTTTTACTCTGCTATATCGGCCATTAAGCGTGCCTCCTTACGCTCAAATTGACATGCTCAAACCCTGTGTCCGGTTGGGTTAAGGAAAAGACCACTTGGGTCAGTGATGAGTGACATATAAATCTCTCCTAGCATAAGGAATCGTGAAATCTAGTTGCGAATTACTCTCTAATTTTACTTGGTAAAATTTACACATTTATATTCTTTTCTGTCACAGAAAGTTATACTATAAATGGCGTTATCAAAGGCTACTTTCAAAAATGTAATATTTTTCATAGTTTTATTAGAGATTTTACTCCAAAGAACGCAAGGTAAAGAGTGTGTACGTTTTCTATCATTTAATTAATTAGCTTTCATCTCGAAATTGTATTCAAGATTTTGAAAAAACAAAAAAAAATCTTAATGTGTTTACATATGCCAACCAAACACTTTCATCGTCATTTAAACATTAATTGATACATAAGGTTCCAACAGATTCAACAGATCAACTGACTGAATATTTAATGTTGTGTTTCCTATTGTTTACAATTCAGGACAGTCGAGTTGTGCTGGTAAAACAGAACGATTTATCAACGGCACATGCTACACATTTTATGATGAATTTGTCACTTGGCAACAAGCAAAGGTAATTGTAACCGATAGTAACACGTTTAACTACAATAAGAACTGATAGTAACAAGTTTGACTACAATTGGAACTTATTGTAACAAGTTTGACTACAATTGTAACTGATAGTAACAAGTTTAACAACAATTGGAACTGATAGTAACAAGTTTGACTACAATTGGAACTGATTGTAACAAGTTTGACTACAATTGTAACTGATATTAACAAGTTTAACTACAATTGGAACTGATAGTAACAAGTTTAAATACAGTTGGTACTGATAGTAACAAGTTTGACTACAGTTGCAACTGATAGTAACACGTTAAACAACAATTGTAACTGTTAGTAACAAGTTTAACTACAATTGGAACTGATAGTAACAAGTTTAACTACAGTTGGAACTGATAGTAACACGTTTAACTACAATTGTAACTGATAGTAACAAGTTTAACTATAATTGGAACTGATAGTAACAAGTTTAACTACAATTGGAACTGATAGTAACAAGTTTAACTACAATTCTTCTTCTTCTTTCTTCTTTATTTTAAGGGCCCACGATCAATGAATTGATCATTCTGGCTCCTATGTTTCAGAGAGGTTTGCGATGTTACTGTCCATGGGTTTCAATGGGATACTTCACTGGTTGCAAGGGCGACTCAGCAGTGGTGTTATGAACTGGGGGTTGGAATACAGGAGGCAATAGACACAAATGTATCGAGTGTAACTGTTAGTAACAAGTTTAACTACAATTGGAACTGATAGTAACAAGTTTGACGTCAATTGTAACTGATAGTAACACGTTTAACTGCAATTGGAACTGATTGTAACAAGTTTGACGTCAATTGGAACTGATAGTAACAAGTTTAACTAAAATTGGAACGGATAGTAACAAGTTTAACTACAATTGGAACTGATAGTAACAAGTTTAACTATAGTTGGAACTGATAGTAACAAGTTTAACTACATTTGGAACTGATAGTAACACGTTTGACTACAATTGGAACTGATAGTTACAAGTTTAACTACAATTGGAACTGATAGTAACACGTTTGACTACAATTGGAACTGATAGTAACAAGTTTAACTACAATTTTCAATTGTGTTTGCATAATGAGAGAAGATATTTTATGCATTACAAATGCATTAAAATAATAGAATTTGAAACCATTGTTTCCTACATACTTGGATTAACAGCACACTACTCTCTCTTGAATCAAATAAATAGTTATAAAACCGTTAATTTTAAGACTGTGTGTGTGGTGGGGGGTGGGAATTATTTATAAAACGGTGTATAGGAGACACTTATCTTCTCCGCTCAGTGATGGCGCATTTTTGCTCTGGTTAGTGCAGTTAATATATCGTGAAAACATTAATTTGAAAATAAGTAGTAATTAAAATAATTCAACGACAGTGAATATTCATCTTTTATTCTTATTTAAATGTTATACATGCATTTCATATCGAATAAATAAAACTGATATTACTTTTATCCTAATTCGTATATTAAAATGTGTATTCAAGGATGTTCATTGAGACTTGTTAATAATAATTTAAAAAAAAAACAAAAAAAAACAAAAAAACATTGACTTGATTAAACAATAACGTTTGCTTTTAATACAAAATTCTTCACACCAATCGGCAATACAAAAATGTAAAATACTATCAATGAAATGTGCAAATATTTAAAGAAGATCAATTTTACTTCCTCAATCAAACCACTGCACAAGCTTTTTATTATTGAGTCTAATGATTTTTTTTGTTTTTTTGGTACTTTTAAAATATGTGTATACATAAAACACGAACATTTTACGACTATGAAAACGTACAATTTTAATTATACTGTATTAAGAACCTAAAATTATAAACTTTTATTTAAAAAAACAACAACACATACACACAAAAGAAACATTTTATTAACGTTTGCAATTTTGAATATAGTTGTTTATTTTTAAAAAAATTGTCACTGTTTCATGTTTTCACAAAAAAAATAAAATAATGTAAGCCATTAATTGCTTTGTGGTCGTCAGATTAGGTGTGAGGAGAGAGGCAAAGTCTTGTCTTCAGTTGATTCCAAGATGCAGATTAAAGAAATGGTCACTGGACAACGTATCAGAACGCAAGGTGCTTATTCAATTAGCCATTTTCATTCTTTCTTTTCGGCTTCTTTTGATGAATTATCTTTAACAATTGAGAATCGATAAACACATTTAAAAAAAAATCAATATGAATAAGTTTATTTATTACATCCGTCACAATGCAAATATAATGCAGACGCCACGTCATGCTAAGGAACATAGTTTGTGTAAACATGTTTTTGAAAAACATCTATTTTATAGTTTACAATTTATAACATTTATTATTTAGAGATGGTTTATATTATTGGTTTGTTTTAAAGGAGTAGAACTAGAGATCGATATGCTTTCAATCAAGTTACAATCACAGAAGAAGCTTATAATTAATGTTCCACTTGTAGAAACATTATATAAAAAATAGAACCACCAATATCAAGTAAATTTATTCCGTAGGTAATAAATTGTGACTTTGGGACATTTCGCAATATTCATAAAATGTCCCCACATGTTGAGTGGCGTAGTTTGAATAAATGCCGTATGCTGCTAATAAAAAAATGTGTACATCTCCCTTTCCAACTCAAAACTACCTTGTAAAGTTTGTAATAAACTGTACTAAAGAAATCCGCATAGCAGTAAAGCCGATGGTAAGCCAAATCACAATCTAAACTAGGTAACTAGGTAAACTAGGTAACATATCTAATCGTAAAGTTCAACACCCCCCCCCCCNCCCCCCCCCCCCCCCCGACTTTATATCACGCAAAGAACTGTACAATTTGCATATATTACAGCCTTAAACTGCTAATCTTTTGTTTAAAATTTTTATTTCCAATAGTTTTTGCACGCACAAGGCTCTGCAAAAAAGTAATAAAACAATTCATGCACAAAGAAAACTTACCAGTGTTGAACCTTGAATAAATCTCACCAGGGGCGAACTCCCGTATTTGTATCTTGAACTCTCATAATATCTTTAATAGTTTTTTTTTCTTCTAAATGTATCTTTAAAAGCGCTAAGAGCCTCGTTTCCCAAACCATTGCACATACGCCAGTACTTGGTTACAGCAACGTAGACTATACAAATCAGAGTCATGTTGATTTTTTTCTTTCTCTCTTAATTTCAAACAATGTTTTCAAACATTTTATCTTTTATACCTAAAATGTGTGAACCATTAAAAATTTGAATATTAATTGAAATGCAAACTAAACTAATGCTAATATAACTTAAGAGTATCGAAACTAAATACAAATGAATAGTATAAAATGCTATTAAGATGTATCTTAAGTTAACATCCACACATAGTCTGAATCGTCTTGATTGTCGTACCGCTCATGATTGAACACTTAACACAAAAAGAAACACATGACGATGAAAGAAAATAAAAAGCTATTATGCATTAACCTTAGCTTAAAATAACAATAATAAATTTAAAGAAAAAACAAACAAAAAATCTATTGTAACAGAAATTCTTTAACAAACAAATACGATCAGACTTTATTCATAAATCTATTTAAATCTGTATTTTGATCTGTTTTTCCGAAAAGTTTTTTTCTAAAAATTTTATTCCGAGGCGGTTATGCCATTTATGAAACTAAATATGTTCGATATTTGGATTCGTTTTTTTTTTGGGACACATTATATTTTATGTTTTCATTGTTCTGTTCCTTATCAATTGATCATTCTTCTGAAATTGTTTGCTTGCGGGCGAGTTGGTTTTTTTCCCACTTCCATTAAATTTTTTTTTAATTATATGTGTACACGTGAACGCGTTCCATAATCTCTAGTGTGGATTGGTGCCAGCGACATTGCGAAAGAAGGAACATTCGTGTGGGTGCACAATAATAAAACAGCCGTAGAGCTGTTGAGCATCTGGAATCAGAATGAGCCAAACGACTTTGGATCTAACGAGGACTGCGTCGTAATCATCAACACGGAGACCAATGACGCCCCTTGCTACTTTAATTTCACATATTTCTGCATGGAAACACCAAAGACAGGTAAAAACCATGTTATACAATATTTAAAAAAAAAAAATGACATTGCCAAGAAATATTGATTGAATTATTTTGCGTATTGTATTTGACACATGATGTATATAGTATATATACGCGAGTAGATCAAATGCTTAGTCATGGGTTGTAATAGTGTCATCGCGTGGTCCATGCTCACCTTGCGGCTGAATTGAATATTTTGTTTATTAAATATTTATATAGCGCTTGTATCCATGCTACTTTAGCTGCACAGGACTAATTAAGGGGCCCAACTTGGTGAATTTGAAACAAGAATCATGGATTAACTAGATATTTAAAAATATTTTTGCGATCCTACAATTTAAGACGTATAATTTTAGACCACAAGCTGTCTGAACGGTCGATTGTCCTGTGATTAATACATTTTACATTTGTTGAGTCTCTGGTATACCTTGAAAATACTTAGTATCGAAAAACAAGGTAAACATGTATTTAAAAATGACTTGTTACGTCCTTAATTTGAGTTTCAAGTTTCGTAGTTTTATTGTAATAACAATCATGTAGGACTGAGGCTGGACACTCAGAATAATACAGTGAAACCTCTCATAACGAGTAATTCGCATAACGAGCAAAAACATGTGAAGAAGTTGCTCCCATAACGAGCGATATTTTGCATAACGAGTTATGCAGAAAATGGAAAGTCCCTTTTTTCCAAGTGTATTGTTTTCATGTGTGATCATTTATTTTTTTTTACAAATTTTGTATTCAGACAGTATTCGTAATTTTTTAAAAGTGCTAAGTGTAATAAACTTTGCGAAAATGTCTTCGGAAAAAAAAAAACACACAAGAAGACAATCATAAGAGACAAAAAAATAACTTGAAATGGAACGTAAAATCATTAAAAAGCGAGAAGAAGGTGTAAGCGTGGCTAATCTAGCGCGCACATACCTTGGAGGAGGAAAAAGCAGAGCATCAATCGTCCAGCGCAATAAGAGAAATGTTAAAAGGATGGGAAACTGTTGCATCGTACATTGAGAAGCATTACCCTAATAAGGAGGTGGCTATTAGTGCTACAAATTTATTCATGAGATTTCATGACTCAGATAGTTATTGCTATCTGCAAGCTCTGCAAGTTTCTTACAGTGTGCCATAAGAGGCCTTTATTTGCTGTTTTATATTGATTAATGGGAATATAACGTGACTTATATCTAAATGCTTCAGAGCCTAAATTCTAAACAGCGCAGAGGAGCATGAGAAGTCAAAGAACAAAAGACAGCCAATGATGGACAGGAATCTGCATGGACTACGTTTTTGAATTGGCTGAACTCTTAAAACACAGGCTGAACTCTTAAAACACAGGCTGAACTCTTAAAACACAGGCTGAACTCTTAAAACACAGGCTGAACTCTTAAAACACAGGCTGAACTCTTAAAACACAGGCTGAACTCTTAAAACACAGATGCTAGCCTTAGTGTCAACTCATTGCTCATTACCTCGCCTCGCTAGAACGTATCAAAACAAATCATTCTTTTTTTTTTGGCATGACTATACTTAATTGGTCAAAGCTTTCGTAATCGTTATGAGCACCGTGTACATTATAAATGAACAATTAAATTCTTTACAAAATTGTTTAAACTTTCAGTTACCTATTAAAAAATAAGGAAAAAAACCCGTAACTACCAACAAAAAATTAACAATACAAATTTAATAAAGGGGCTGTACACAGACAAAAACACAACATCTAGAGATATTATCTTACTAGAAACTATGATCCGATGATGTTCGGGTACAACTGTGAGGCAAAATTCTTAATCATCTACAGCCTATTAGAAAGTCTTTATTTTGTATGTTCAAGTGTCATGTTAAGTCTAAACCTGTATCAAATATAAAATGACTTTTATGAGTGACTCATCCAAAACATATTTTACGTCAATAACTTAGATCATTGCTGAATTCGCTAATGTACATTAGATAACTTACCCCATATATTTGACAATTTTCATCTTAATTTACGAAGATATTATCAAAACAACTGTATCGATTACATCAAGGAAAACAACAACACCATTATCAACAGTAAAAACAACGACAAGTAAGTTATATGTCATGATTATGTCTCTTTTGATAAAAATTTTATGTACAGCGCGGTGAGCCCAGCCCTAGGCTGGGGTACCGCGCCATATAAGACGTCTTATTATATCATATAAATACAAAATATGATTTAATTTTTTGGACAAGGACTTGAATTTTGATTAGCTTAGGCTTATTCAGAATGATATAGTTTCTTGTTGGTAAAACTTGTATATATATCTTGATATTTCTTACTGGAAGCTCTGATCCGGTAATTTTCATATACAACTGTGAGGCATATTGCTTTATCATCTACAGCCTATTAGAAAGTCTTTATTTTGTATGTTCAAGTGTCTTGTTAAGTCTAAATCTGTATCAAATATAAAATGACTTTAAAATTAACGCCACTCAAATAACTTAGATCATTGCTAAATTCTCTAATGTACATTTGATAACTTACCCCATATATTTGACAATTTTCATCTTAATTTACGAAGATATTATCACAACAACTGTATCGATTACATCAAGGACAACAATAACACCATTATCAACAGTAAAAACAACGACAGGTAAGTTATATGTCATGATTGTGTCTCTTTTGATAAAATTTGTATGTACAGCGCGGTGAGCCCAGTCCTAGGCTGGGGTACCGCGCTAAATAAGACGTCTTATTATTATTATATATGTATATACATATTACGTAATAATATAAATACAAAATTAAATATGATTTAATTGTTTGGACAAGGACTTGAATTTTGATTACCTTATGCTTATTCAGAATGATATAGTTTCTTATTTGTAAAACTTATATATATATATATTGATATTTCTTACTGGAAGCTCTGATCCGGTAATTTGTCATATGCAACTGTGGGGCATATTGCGTTATCATCTACAGCCTATTAGAAAGTCTTTATTTTGTATGTTCAAGTGGCTTGTTAAGTCTAAACCTGTATCAAATATAAAATGACTTTTATGAGTGACTCATCCAAAAATATATTTTAAGTCAATAACTTAGATCATTGCTAAATTCGCTAATGTACGTTTGATAACTTACCCATATATTTGACAATTTTCATCTTAATTTACGAAGATATTATCACAACAACTGTACCGATTACATCAATCAAAACAATAACACCATTGTCAACAGTAAAAACAACAAGTAAGTTATATGTCATGATTATGTCTCTTTGATAAAATTTTTATGTACAGCGCGGTGAGCCCAGCCCTAGGCTGGGGTACCGCGCTATAAAAGACGTCTTATTATTATTATTATATATTTATATACATATTACGAAATAATATAAGCACAAAATATGATTTAATTGTTTGGACAAGGACTTGAATTTTGATTAGCTTATGCTTATTCAGAATGATATAGTTTCTTGTTGGTAAAACTTATATATATCTTGATATTTCTTATTGGAAACTCTGATCCGGTAATTTTCCTATGCAACTGTGAGGCATATTGCATTATCTTTTACGATGTATTATGAAGTCTTGCTTGTTGTGAGGCATATTGCGTTATCTTTTACGATGTATTATGAAGTCTCGCTTGTGTATGTTCAGGTGTTTTATGAACTCTAAAATTTGATGAAATATCAAATTTACATGAAGTTGAAGCCATACTTCTGACATCGAAAAACAATATTTTACGTCCGTAACTTAGATGATTGCTAAATACACTTATGTAAAATATGATAGTTTTACCCCAATTATTTAACTATTTTTATATTTATTTACAAAGATGTTATTACAACAACTGAATCGATTACATCAATGAACACAATAACACCGGTATCAACAATGAAAAATTCAACAGGTAACTTAAATATATATATTATATAATTTATATAGTAAAATTTCAATTTAATTACTATATAGGTTTCATATCACATAGTAACTAAGCAAATTATATACTTCCAGGAGTTGAAGAGCCTTTGCTGTCACAACAGAATATTTATATCATATCAGCAGCAAGCATCGGACTTTTGCTGCTAGTACTGGCTATAGCGAGCATAGTCGTTTGTAGAAGAAAAGGTTTGAAATAATCATCATTGCTATCCAATATTTGTTTAAAAAATTAATTTTAAAAAAGCACTATATAAAAGACTGAATTCATGCTATTAATACATTTGCCATTTCTTGTCATTACATTTATATACGTTTTTTATTTCAAGAAAATAATACATTTTACTGATCCTAATAACGTTAACATTACACAAATCGATTTGGTCTTGATTTTTTTCCACGATTTTTTGCTTGTTCCCTCAAAAATTCGCCTATAGCAGAGCGTTCGGTTGACCCTTGTGTGGTCTGATTAAATATGATGTGGGTAGACACTGCCAATTTGGACAAAGAAATTTTTTGATTTAGATCTTAACTTCTAGTCTTTTATCTGCACCTTTCCAAGACATATAACTATCTGACATAAATGTATTTTAAAACATGTTTTTTTTTTTTTTTTTTTTTTTTTTTTTTTTTTTCTTTAAAGCAAAAGGAACCTTTTAACCGTTTATTTTTTTTTTTTTTTTTTTTTTTTTTTTTTTTTTTTTTTTTTTTTTTTTTTTTTATTTTTTTTTTTTTTATTTTTTTTTTTTTTTTTTTTTTTTTTTTTTTTTTTTTTTTTTGCAGTAAAGCGAAAGGAAGCCTTTAACCGGTAATTGTTATTTTTTTTGGGTTGACATTAAAGTCTAACTCTGAGTTCATTGTTTCCTTAGACATTATAATAATATGCAAATAAATATGTTATATGTAAATGATACAAATGTATACACTATATAAGATATATATATATGTATATTTGATATTTAGTGCTAATCAAAAATAACATTTTTACTTATTATGATATGCTTTACAAAATTTTTTTTTTAAAGTTCATAATTTTCTCCATTATTAGGTCTCATGTGTACAACTCACTTACCTATCAAAGACATGGTAAGAGCTTTCTTTATTAAACAATAAAGCAACAACCATAATTGCATCACGTGTAAGATAAAGTGCTATGCCTACATAAGTCTCCATTCAAAAACTCTTAAACTGAGGCTGACTTGGATTTTAAGTTCATATGTTTCAGTAGTTTTTTTCACAAGAGAAGGTGACCTGAAAGTAATTTGAAATCCTTAAGACGTGAAGGAAATCATATGTTTTTTTAAAGAAATATTATATTTGAATCGCATATAATAATTCAATGTCATCAGCACCATTTATAAAACAGTAAAAACCTAAAACTTATAATAATACTTGTATGTAGCGTAACACTAACATTTATTTTTGAATGGCTCAAATCGATTACTCTTTTACGTATAAGTTATATCTATTCTATATAATATGTTAATAAATTCTAATGTAAGCGATCACTGTGAATGACAACACATTTGTTTCAAACGACAGTTTTGTTTTATTCTACTTTTTGTCTTACAGATACCGTCACTTACTCATCCGCTGGCTACGCTGTGTTCAACGCAGAGTTAACACTCAATAAGAAAGACTCCCCCGTGAGCATGGACGAGAATGCGTATGCTTACATTGGTGGCGAAACCCCCACAGAAGAGCATCGTAGCTTTAAGTAAACATGACCATGACAAGTGATAAATCCCCCCCCCCCCCCAAATCAGAAGATAGAAGAAAAAAAAATGAATCACGTACCACACTGTGGCGTGAGGCGAGCCGTTGGTTTGACCATACCAATGGACACCACATGAAAGGTGCGCACATTTTAAAAAAAGTGGTCGATTGATGTGTAGATATTTTGTTTCTTTGAATTACGTTTTCTGTTTTAGTAATTATTGTAAAATATTTCTATAGTAAAGGATTTACATGACCCATTGAAAAAAAATAAATATTTGTTCATGATTTGTAAACAATAAAAGCAGGTATGATTAGCATCACGACATCGGGGAATACCCCCAAATAGTATGTCTCATAGAATGGTGAAATTAAGATCGGGATGATTTTGGATGAGTTAGAACAGTTTTGAAAAGGTACATTGTTAATGATCTGTGATCTGAGAGTTGAAAAGGGCAAAGAAGAATATGAAACATTAATCAGCAGTCTTTCATGGGACATAAATGCCTTATGCTTATAATGTGATATAGGCAGCGCAGCTAGAAATTGTTTTCTTGCATCAAATTATTTATACCTGGAGACGCACGTATCATTTATGGTAGACAACAGAACAAGACATTTCTGACATTACAGGAATGTACAAGACATTACTATACATAACATGACATTAAAAGGCATTGCAATGCATTGCAAGAGATTAACAGACATTGCAATACATTACAAACATTGCAATACATTACACGAAATTACAATACATTACAATTTCCAAGACATTACAAGACATTTCAATAGATTACAATACATTACTATACCTAGTGCCGGGGGGTTGTCCCGTCTCCAAACATTTCAATAGCTGTAACCATGATGTAATTCAAAAGAGCACAAAAGGAAGGAAACATAGATTTTACAAGAAAATAATTGTATGAAATAGTTCTTTCTTTGGAATATATGCTTAAGAATCTGCAGAGGATCAGAATCTTTGTTTTGGATACGTAATTTTTCTCTCAACAACATTTCGTTAACAAAATCTCCATTGTCACTAAACAAAGGATAACTTCCGGCTACAACAAGATGGTGGTATAGTAATACACAATAGGAAGGAATCTCAGTGTGTAGGCGCTTCAGTAAAGCAAGGGGGATAGTTAAAGATGATTATTGGAAATTGGCTTCGACGCAAGAAAATTCGAACTTTTAATATTTTTTTATTGTTTTGCGGTTCCATTCAGGATCAGAATTTATGCTGTTATCAACGTATTTATCCTTTAAATTACAACTACAATATAGACCTACTGTTAGGCTGAATAGGAAGAAGCCATCTTGTTTGGAAACAGTCGGAAGTCTCTGTACTCAGCTCTCATCTGTGGTTCCAAGAAGCTGTAACATGCACAGCGACTACAACCCAGACAACGATTCCAGGTTGAGGGTAGCCGAAAGGGCATAGAACTTTCGGAAAAAAGGGGTTGTCCTCCATACCATGTAAAGACTGAATCCGGCAAATTGTGCGGAAGAACAACTACTTGGTCAACGGACAAAAGGCGGAGACAGCACAGTTTTGTGAATCGCTGAGAACATGACCAGACACGTAGAGAGCCATGGTCATTCACTGCATGGGTGACTGGGTGGCCAAATGGTCTAAACTGAGCAAACCTCAATTTCAACCAAAGGCCGGTTAAGCAAAAACATCACCCCGGGTGGATGAGACTCGTTAACCTTGGTCGGCAACTCATCTAAGAGAAGGAAACTCTGAATTCAAACCCAGAGTTGGAGTCCCGTAAGGTGCATACAATGTCAATTCCTGCAACCGTACCCATCCCTGGTCGTCTTGACGTAGCGTCTTGCCACTGGATATGGTGGGCTCGGACGAGAGAGTGAGGTTGACGCTGCGCAACTCTTCCTCACTTTAAACAAAAGTCACCCGCGCAAGTCATCAGTCACCAGACGACTCGATGGTCATCGTCGATCCTCGGCGGACGAACAACAACGAACAATACTAGTAACACAACAGATAGGATCTATATATGGAGAATACATTAATGACACGATTTCGTAGGTTGTCTCCATATGGGATAAACCAAATCCACAATATTACCTCGCTGCCATGTCTTTTTCCTGTTCGGTTTCTACAATTTTGTTCAAATCACTTCCTTTCCACTTTAGTTTGCTTCTGTCTGTGTTTTCGCCCACTCCTATTTTTCTCCCCCTTTTAGGTAGGATATCTGTGTGTATATATATATATATATATATATATATATTATGTACATTTAATTTATACTTTTTTAGTTGTCTTTTTATTGTACTGATGAATGCATGTGCCGAGACGTATACTTTTGTATTCTGTAAAATTATTGTTAAAGCTTACCTTATATTGTCATATTGACTCAAAGTGTTGGTGTCTAATTAATGTATTTTAAATCTTTATCGCAGTCCAACACTTTTTATATTTTTCGAATATTTATTGTTTTTGAATATTTTCTTCTCTGATTGATAAAATAAAGTTTAAAAAATTAACAAAAGAAAATTAGCCTTGACTTCTTATTTAACAATTTGAGTGGCCGATTCGTAAATTGAAAAAACAAATTGTATAAAAATAAACAAAATTAAATGAACGAACGAACGAACAAACGAAGAGATCTCTTACCAGATCGGTTACGCTGATTGAGAAGACCAGTAATAATAAATACAATATATTTGTTTACTCCCTTTTGTTTACATTTAGCAAAGTGTAGGTAAAAATTCATTGTAATAATTAGCAAATGTTTATATGTTTTAATTTCCAATAGTATAGCTTTGAAACAAATCCCTTTTTCTGTTACGTAACGTTGACCTATGACGTGCTGACTTAGCTCAGTCATGATTGGTCCGTGTCTCATTGTGTTATGAGGCGTGCAACCTGATCTGACTCAGTGTGTACTTGAGGGATTCTCAGAGTTAAGAATATCAAGACACTTTTACTGTGTATCTTAAGATTACCATAGCATAATATTCATTTTTTCTGGGTTTTGTTAGAAAATGAATGTAATCCAGTGATTCTCAACCTACCACATGCCACGAACTTTAAATAAAATTCTTCTTCTTCTTCTATATCTTAAGGGCCCACGATCAATTTATTGATCATTTTGTCTCCTATGCATGTAGATGGGATTTGCAATGTTTCTGTTACTGGTGGTGATGAGGAAATTATGCACTAGGGGTTTGAAGGCTTGAGGCAATAGACACAAATGTGTCTAGTGTTGTCGCCTCAACTGTTCCTTTTGAAAGATGGTTCCAGTCCCTGATTGTCTTGGGCAGGAATGAGCAGCTCCTATACTGGCTTCTTGCTGGTATGAGCCTGAATTGCCTGTCATGGCCTCGTCGCTGTCTATGGGGGAGAGGGACGAGTTTCTGTTTAATACTGGAACATTGGACCAGCCCATTATTTATCTTGTACATCATGGAGAGCCTGGATTGTCGTCGTCGTTTCTCCAATGGTGACCAGCCTAGTGTT